CTTGGCAACCTCGATCCAATTATTCAGAATGCTTGAGTGGAGCCATAAATACTTCAAAACATAAAACATATCTAAAAAGGGACTTATCCACAAAAGCCAACGATTCCATGTTCTGACAATGAACTTGGAATAAAGGGCAGCGGTTTTTAATTTAGCTTCTCAAAAATAACTCTTAAGAAAAACATCTTCCAACGGAGGCTGCACATGTGATAAAGCATAGTGAGAGCTGATGAGCTCTGTGCTGAACATGGGCATGACCTTCACGCCCGCAGGTTCTCGAGAAGGGGTAGCAGTCAGCCAGGGGACTTACTGAGCACAGACATTTTGCCCCAAGGACCTGTGTGTATGTCCCAAGACTCCTGTAGAACAGCTGTGCTGGAGTATGGCCCAGAGGCTGTGACAACTCACCTCTTTTGAAATCAGAACCCACATAGGCTACTTCAACTTGGGGTCAGAAGGAGGTTTCCACTCTATGTCATCTGGCCTTTAGGTACTGCCGACAGCCTCAAGCGCTGCTCCCCGCCCAGCAGAGTCACAGATCAGAGTTCCAGACCGCAGACAGCCTCAAGCGCTGCCCCCCACCCACCAGGTCACGAATCTGGGTCCCAGACTGCTGACAGCCTCAAGCACTGCCCTCCACCTGGCAGGGTCACAGATCCGGTCCCAGACCACGGACAGCCTCAAGCACTGCCCCCCGTCTGGCAGGGTCACAGATCCGGTCCAGGACCACGGATAGCCTTGCCCACTGCCTCCCACTGTCAGTATGCAAATTAGCTGCCATCTTGTTGCTTCATGGTGGGGGTCCCCAATGGGGTGCCTGGCCAGCCTGGATGAGGGGATGATGGCTGTTTGCAGCTGGTCTCAACCCCTTCAGGGTGGGGGTCCCCACTGGGGTGCCTGGCCAGCCTGGATGAGGGGCAGAGGGCTGTTTTCAGGCTGGTGGGTGACTGAAGCTCCCAACCTCTCCTTTTTTTCTTTTCTTTCTTTTTTTTTAATTCTGGGATTTATTTATCTTCTATGGCTGTCACTGGAGCTGAGAGCCGGCTTTAGCTCTGAGGCTCAGCTCCAGCTCTGAAACCTCGGCTGCTGAAAGCAGGGATCTGGGCTTGTTCGGGTTCTATAATTGTAACACTGTTGTGATCCTGCTGGCTGAAGCCCGGCTGGCTAAAAGCAGGTTTCTGGAGCCTGTTTAGCTTCTATATTTGCAACATAGTTGCTTAGAGTACAAGCTCAGAGGCCGGCAGCGGCAGACGGGGAACCTTGGCTTCCTCCATCACTGGAGCAAGCAAGCCTCCTGTTCGCTTCAGCTGCCTGGCTGCCGGCCGCCATCTTGGTTGGCAGTTAATTTGCATATCTCCCTGATTAGCCCATGGGAAGTGTGTTGGAGGTATGGTTAATTACCATGCTTGTCTATTATTAGATAGGATATCAGAGTTGAAGGGAGAGGGAGAGATAGAAACATCAATGAGAAAGAATCATGAATTCGCTGCCTCCCACAGGCCACCACTGGGGATGGAGCCCACAACCTAGGCATCAGCACTGGCTGGGCAGGCCCTGTCTGTTTTGAGGGCTTTAAGTGGTGCCCACTCAAGCTGCTGAGCTAACCAAGTGACTCTGTCATCAGCAGGTCACTGTATTGGCAGAAGCACCAACCCAGGAGCAGAAAATTAGAGAAGAACACAACATAAACCAAAAACTGCCCCAATCTTGTACACGTGGTGTGACAGTGTCTGATAGTATAGTCTCGCCTGGTGGGAGGAGTGCACCTTCTGACAGGTATGGGACTTGGATGGAAGGGGTGTGGCTAAGAGTCTGTACTGGGTTTGAGAGCTGAGTCTAGGCCTCTCAGTTCCACAGTCGCTCCATTGATATGGGTCCTGGAAATAAATGGCTATTTGGATGAGCTTTTGTTCAACACACAGTTCTTATATGATTATAAATGAAAAGTAACCACTTAGCCCTGGCCAGTTTTGCTCAGTGGATAGAGCATTGGCCTGCAGACTCAACGGTCCCAGGTTCGATTCCTCTCAAGGGCATGTACCTTGGTTGCAGGCACATCCCCAGTAGGGGATGTGCAGGAGGCAGCTGATTGATGTTTCTGGCTCTGTATCCCTCTTCCTTCCTCTCTGTAAAAAAAAAACAATAAAATATATTTTTTTAAAAATTAACCACTTAATTCTACTATTGTCTATCCACATTTCTAATTTTTTCCCCATCAGCCTAATTACAGAAATTTGATTTATTTCTTCTAGGTAACAACACATTCATTTTATTTTGTGAAGACTCACCTAGAGAGCTCATATCAGGAATTCTTCTCCCCAACAACTGTAAATAGTTCATACATTAGAACACCTGAACTCCACCAGTCAACTGCCTAAAAAAAACCAAAAAATTTGATAGAACATTAACTAGTGTGCAATCTATAAGAAAAATGAACAAAGTAAAGCTGTATATTAGGAAAATACTTTATTTTATTTTTAAAAAATATATTTTTATTGACTTCAGAGGGGAAAGGAGAGGAAGAGATAGAAACATTGATGATGAGAGAGAATCACAGATTAACTGCATCTACCCTACCCTCCATGTCCCCCTACCCCACTGGGAATTGAATGTGCAAACTAGGCATGTGCCCTGAAAGGGAATTGAACCATGACCTCCTGGTTCATAGGTCAGTGCTCAACCACTGAGCCACGCCAGCTGGGTCACCTAAACTTTTAAGGGTCCCCACCTGACCTGCAACCAGAGCAGCAATGAGCAGCAGCAGCTCATCCCAGGCTGAGCCCCTGAACCTGCACTCAAGGCCACCTTTTCTCTGATTGTCCAGTGAGCTAACCACAGCCCCACTTTGGCTCCCTTATTTCCCACAATGTTCCTAGAGCCATAGGAGCCCTGCTCTGCTGTTGCTTGTTCTATCCTGATGCCTACCTGTTTTCACTATCCCCAGCTTCAATAAATGTATTCTCAAAATCTTCTGAACTCATGCTGTGAAATCTTTTCTGCATGAAGTAAAAAATCAAACACTACAGGGCAACCTGAGGCCTACCGCCTCCAGGTTGTTTCCTGTTCTATAAAGACAGACCAAGGCATGGTTTTGCTTACATGGTTTGGGAGAAAACGTGATGGCCCACACTCACTTTGGTGTTGTTGAGTCAATTCAATCTTGTTTTTCTTTTTCTTTTTTAAAACATCCATGAGCCTTAACTGGGTTGCTCAGAGGATAGAGCATTGGCCTGCAGACTGAAGGGTCCCGGGTTCAATTCCTGTGGAGGGTACATGCCCTGGTTGTGGGCTCTATTCCCAGTAGGGGGTGTGAGGGAGGGATCCGATTTAATGATTTTCTCTCATCAAGGATGTTTCTATCTCCCTTACCCTTCCTCTCTGAAATCAATAAAAAATATACTTTAAAAAAATCCATGTGAGAGAGACACATTAACTGATTGACTCCCACAGTCACGCTAACGAGGGCCTGGGATCTAGCCTGCAACACACATATGTGCCCTTGACCAGAATCAAACTCAGGACCCTTCGGTCCACAGGCTGGTGCTCTATCCACTGAGCCAAACTAGCTAGGGTGAGTCAATTCAATCTTAACACTATTCCTTTTAAAATGAAATGTTTTTAATGATTTCTTAGAGAGGGAGAGGGAGAAACATCAAAGATGAGAATCATTGATCAGCTGCCTCCTACATGCCCCCCCCCTACTGGGATCAAGCCCCCAAACTGGGCATGTGCCCTATAAGGAATGGAACCAGTGATCTCTTGCTTCATGGGTCCAAACCCATTCATTGAGCCACACCTGCTGGGTGCACTATTGTTTTTAATTTTTGAATCAATTACAGATGTCCCCCATGTTCCCTCTGCCCATTCCCCCTTTGCCTTCCTCTATCCTGCCCCCATTGCTTGTAGGACCTCACCACATTATTGTCTGTGCCCATGGGCTATGCATATATGTATATACCTTTTTAAAAATATATTTTTATTGATTTCAGAGAGTAAGGGAGAGGGAGAGAGATAGAAACATCAGTGATGACAGAGAATCACGGATTGGCTCCCCCTGCATGCCTCCTACTGGGTATCAAGCCTGCAATCCAGGCATGTGCCCCCAGCCAGAATTGAAAGCAAGACCCTTCAGTCCACAGGCTGATGCTCTATCCACTGATCCAAACCAGCCAGGACTTAAATGTGTGTGTGTGTGTGTGTGTGTGTGTGTGTGTATAAATTAGAGGCCTGGTGCATGAATTCGTGCATGGTTGGGATTCTCCGGCCTGGCCGACAATCAGGGCCAAAGAGGGCCATCTCACCTAGTCCAGGGGGAGGGACCATGGGAGGTTGGCTGGCCACAGGAGGTTGGGTGTGGGAACGTACTAAGCCCCAGGGGCAGCTCCTATGTTTAGCTTTTGTCTCCTGTGGTGTGTGTCATAGTGACCGGTTGACCAGTCATTTGGTCCACTGGTAATAATGGTCATTTAGGCACATATATGTGTGTGTGTGTGTGTGTGTGTGTGTGTGTGTGTGTGTGTGTATGTATATGTATATTTTAGACAGAGGAATGAAAAGATAGAGATAGAAACATTAATAATGAGAGAGAATCACTGATTAGCTGCCTCCTGCAAGTCCCCGCCCACACTGGGAATTAAACCGCAACGCACGTATGTGCCATGACCAGAAATACAACTGTGACCTGCTCGTACATAAGTTGATGCTCAACCACTCAGCCACACCATCTGGGCTATCTTCTTTTGAAATATTTTTCAAATATGTATTTTTTATTGTTGATGGTATTACAGATGTCTCCCATTTCCCCTGTGTATATGTTTTTGGGGGGATCTTTTCCAGTTCTCCCCACCCCTCCTCTGGGAGATCTGTCAGTCTGTCCCAGTTAACCAGGCCTCTCGTCCCATCTTCTCCTTCCCCAGAACCACTGGCAGGACTACAACACCTTGTTGCTCATGTTCCCAGGCTGGAAAGCTAGCCCTCTCCTGGGCGGTTTAGAAAACTACACTACCCAGAAAGCAATGCGTCCACGCAGGGCAGTTTGGTGCCAGCGCATCCGGTTGGGGCGGGACTTCCGGAGTCCTCTTCCTGGCCGACATTTTGACTTCTTCAAGCTGTCCAGTGGCTCAAGGGCTTCAGCGCGCCTATCGCGTGAAGGAGGAGACGTGGGAGGCCGCATCCGGCGGTGCAGGGTGTGTCTGAGCCTGTTGAGCCGCAACCTTCGGGATTGGGGCGTCCGTGCCTCCCCGACTCCTCTCCGCTCACACAGTTTGACTCAGCGTCACCCCATTGAACCCTCCAGCCTCTGTTCCCGCCGCCGCTCGGGTCCCGCAGCCCAGGTCGCAGCGTCCAGCACAGTAAGTCCTCGTGGGGGACCCGGGGTATGAGGGGGGAGGAGGGCAACCGGCTGCGGGGCCGCCGGGGGAGGCCGTGGGGGGACTGAGCCGGGAGGTGGGGACACCCAGGCCTGGTTTGTGTCTAAAGGCGACAGAGAGGACGAGAGGCGGTTCCCGGGAGGAGTTTTACTTTCATGTTTAGGGCGACGGGGCTGCGGGTGGTTGTGAACAGCAGAGGGATGAGGCTGAGATGCGGGTCTAAACGTTCCCCAAACGCCCAGAGGAGGAGCCGCCTCCATGAGAGAGGGCGGCAGTGAGGGCGGGAGGAGGGGCTGTGAACACAGCGACCCAGCAGGAGGCGCCCTGAGGACCAGCCCTGAGGGAGGGGCATCTCCGCGTCGCTGGACCTCGGGCCTGAGCCCCTGGGTCCTGGGGTGGGTGCCAGGCCCTCAGCAGCCCTTTAGCTCCCACAGGTTCCTGCAGAGCCGCTGAGCGGGCTGGTTCCTGCAGAGCCGCTGAGCGGGCTGGTCTGTGGGGCTATGTCAGGGCCTCACACTATCGTGGCTTCTGAGACTGTGGGGTCCTGGGACTGTCCAGCCCCTCTTCTCGGGGGACCTTGGACCTGGGGACCTTGAAGGGACACCAAGCCCAGAACCCTAAGTCAAGGGTCAGATGAGGGGCACCTGATTTTTGCAGCGAGTGGAATTGTGTGTGACAGGTGTTTCCATGCATCGGTTCCAGAATGTGCAAAGGCTTGGAGTGAAGACTAAGCTGATTCAGGGACGAGCAGGGGGTCCATTTTTAAAAAATAGGAACTGGAAACAGTGGGACAGGAATCAAGTCCAGAGGAGCTTTGTGACCACTTGGGTTTCTGTTCTGCTGGTGATGGGGTCATTGGGGTAATTGGTCAGTAGAGCAGGTGACCTGTCCCAGGTCTCATTGCACTCCCTGTGGCTGCAGCATGATGTACAGTATGGGTGTGAGGACGATGGTAGAAATGCTAGGACGGAAGCTGCTGTGATAGTGTTGGTGAGTGTGATGGTAACTGGAGTACAGTGGTGGTTGTGGGTGTGGATGAAACGGTTGCATTATGGATCAGTGATTTCAGTGTAGCCACCTGGATTTTCTAATTTTGAGAATTGGAGAGAGGGGTAAGAATCACAGAGGATGTAAAGATTTGATTTTAGCACCTGATGGTAAGAAAGCACCATCAGCTGACAGAGTTCCATAGGGGGAAAGTGGTGTTCATGAGGAATATAAAATCTTTTATTTTTCCTATTAGGGTATGAAATATTTCAGAGATCAGTTCATGATCATCTGAAACTCTGAGGAGTAGTTCAAGATGACGACTACTTAAAAAAATAGTAAAGCCTATGGAGCAGGGAGGAGTTGTAGATCAACTTTTCTTTTATTAATTGGAGGGAGAAGAGTAATTCAAAAAAGGTGAGATTGTGGCTGGTGCATATTTCTTTCTTTCTTTTTTTTTTTAAACTGGTAATTATTTTTTTAATATAGTGTATTGATTTTTTACAGAGAGGAAGGGAGATAGAAACATTGATGAGAAACATTGATCAGCTGCCTCCTGCACACCCCCTACTGGGGATATGCCCGCAACCAATGTACATGCCCTTGACCAGAATCGAACCTGGGACCCTTCAGTCCATAGGCTGACGCCTGATCCCCTGAGCCAAATCGGTTAGGGCCATATTTCTTTCTTTCTTTTCTTTTTTTTTTTTTTTTTGAGCAACAGAGAAATTACAGTGAGGAACTGGGCCAAGTGGGATTTGGGCACCGGACTATACAATGCACTCATTGATCCACAATAAAAAGCATAACCAGGTGGGTGCTCCGCAAACCAGTTGACTTGACGCGGTGGGGGCAGCCGCTTTCACAGGCATTCATGCCACCACTAACCATAGGTGACGACCCTGCTACCCCTGGAAAGGCTACCCCACCCTTGAAACGGTAAAGGTATGCAGGGCGGCCTACTTGCCACTTCTATGGAAACAGGGGCAGGGAGAACACTCTATGGACCAAACTAGGTGCGGGAGGTGGGCACCTAGTGGGACACAGGAAAGGAGGCTGTGCCATATGTGCCCACGGCTTCCAACAAAGCATGCCGCCACCTTGAGATCATCCATGGGTGACTCCACGTAGGCTTCCCCTCCCCTCGGTTCTTCACTTCCAAGAAACATGCATGGGGTGTGACACAACAAACCAACAATTAAAAGGATGAGGCCCACCTTCACACAGGGTTACGGGTATATGCTTCAGAAATCAAACGCACATTCGACCTAATGCAGCTGAGGCACAGCTTCAATGAGGTGCATGAAGTAGGACTGAAAACTGGCTGATGATGACACAACATGGAGTAGCTCAGGGGAGATGGGGTGCACGAGAAAGTGCACTGCTTACTATTCAAGTGTTCACAAACAGCAACACACAATAGGATCCAACCAACCCAACCCCTCCATTTGGACTCAGGACCCACACTTGGAAAGAAATGCTATCAGCACAAAAATCCATGGGCCCCAAACAATACTCTCCCGGTCTGTGTCTTCTATGTCTCTCTCTTCTATCCTTGAAATAAAACAATGATATTGAGAGCGCACCCAACCAATACAGTGCGTGTCTGTGTGTGTGTCTGCATGTGTGTGTACATGTGTGTGTATGCTCATAGGCACACTAACATGGGGAAGGACACTATTCACTCACAAACAACACTGTGCTCACAGCTCCTATAGGAAATATGTCAGCTCCCCACAAGCACACACTACACAGATACATAGGGGTGAGCATGCATATTCACAGCTTCCCTTCTCTAGAAAGCTGCACCATGAGGGAACCCTGGGGCATGACAAGCACAAGACACGTCGTTCCATGCTAGCCAGGTGACTGCAGGAGCACAGGCCCCTCCAAAATAATGCACAGGTCCCTCCATCACAACAGCAACCTCGGTCGTCCGGACATGGCCACCAGGAAAGGCACACAGACCTTTCACTCTTTCAGATGCTCGCTCGGTAAAATCCTGCCCCACACACTGTGCTGGGTGGGCTGCATATCTGGCACTTCGGCCAGACGGGTCATGCTGTGCTGGATGTTCCTCTTCACAGCACAAACACATCCGCCCAAGGATGCGCTGGGGCACCACACAGGGAACCTCCAAACAACAACGACCTCCCATGGATAGACAAACGGGAACTTCCACCTTCCATCCATGACTTGCCTACCACTTCCACTGGTCCGCCACGGCTCCCTCCAAGAGCTGCCCACACGAGTCCTCAGTGGACAGCGGGTGGGTAGCTTCCCCACGAAGAACGCACCACGACACACTGCTGAGGCATTAAACATTGATCCCATCAGCCGCACAACGGGTGGCTCAGCCGGAATACCTACCCATATTTATTTCTTAAACACTCACCAGGATTTCTTGTGACCCTTTGTGTGGTGTGGTGTGTTGCAACCAGTTTGGTTGATTTGCTTATGGGCATGAGTTGGCATCTGTGGGCATGGGGTAGAGGACCATAGGCAGTGGTACTTGAGTACTGAAGGGTGTGAGTGGAGAAGAGACATCAATGCAGCAGCAGTAGTGGTGGGCTCTGGATAACTGAGATCTGTTGTAGTTTTCAATTGGCGAGGTTGAAGAAAAAAACAAGTTGGGAGGGAGGCCTTCATAGCAGAACTGAAGGCTGTATTTGGACAATCAGAGTCAGGTTAGTACGTGATACTGTTTGAACTTGGTGTGCATTCTCTGGAAAACACACGCTGAGTAATGACTAAGACCAAGGAGATGTCTATGGGAGCTGGGGCTATTGGAGTGCAGGTGTGAGAGGTGTGGGAGTAGGAGTAATGTGGTCTTGGAGAGGGAGTGTGAATTGATGGCCACAGATCCATGATATTGACATAGAGGGAATTAAGGTTGAGTCCATTTCTGGTGATAACTGGATGCTACAACATGGGGAATTGTAGGGCAATTCCTGAAAAGACGGGTGTTGTGGCGCTAGATGCCAGTTCCAGAATTTAGGTGTCATATAGGTGCACACCTACCTATTGTTGGGCTGATACAGTGATCAATAGGAATGGGATAGCATACATCAGTGTCACCTGGGCTGGAAAATCTCTACTGGCTTGGGGAAGGGATAAGGGTAAGAGAGAAATACATACAGAGGAGGTGAGTTAGAATGTTGAAAAGACGGTGAGTAGAAAACATTCTCTCCTCTTCATGGCATATATGTGTTATCTTTGAAGATGTGACTCTCAGAATGAAGCTGCATGAGAGAAATGGGATACAAAAGATTATGTGGAAAAGGTGGTGAAAGTGTTGGCCTCAGCACCCTAGTATTGGAATCAAAAGGGTGACGAGTGATGCCATGTTTTTCGGGTTCTTGAAGGGAGAAGATGTTGGACAACAAGGATATTGCCTCACAAGACCAGTGTCAAATCACTCACATCTGTGTTTTTGATAAACATTTCTATGTACCCTATGTTGTTGACACCCATTGCATTGACCCTAAATGTGAGGCCCTGAGGTCAGGTATAATTAATCTGGGCATCTGCTCTATTGTTGTGGGAAGACAAAGTATCAGTAGGAATATAAGGAGAGAGTGACTCTGATGGGTTCAAGGCCAGCTCTTTTCTGTGATGTGGGAATGGAGGGAGCAGATGGATATGGAGAGTGGAAAGTATGATGAAATTAAAGCCTAGGAGAGAAGCTGATCATGGATTGAACTGTCTCCATTACGACAGGATATGAACTTTGAGGACGTGGCCATTGCCTTCTCTCAGGAGGAGTGGGGGCTCCTTGATGAGGCTCAGAGACTTCTGTGCTACGATGTGATGCTGGAAGTTTTTGCAGTGGTATCATCTGTAGGTAAGACCTTCACATCTCTCCTAGTGTCCTGAAATGATGTCCTCTCTTAATTTGTTTTCCAAATGTAGCTTTCTCTCCCACAGCCAGACCATGGGCTAGTTTTCCCAACTTTCCTGTAAATGTGCTGTGCCTTCCAGTGCTGACTTGTGGTGTGTAGCGATCCCTGAGCAAAGGACCCCATAAATAACCCTCAAAAGCATTACCTCAAATAGTGCAGGAAGTGTCCAGGAATCAGGATTGTTGCAGAAAGCTTAATGGGTCTCACCTCAGACTTCCTTTTCCTGTGAGGAGGACTATGTCCACATGCATGGCTTTCACTTCTGACCCCTTTCTCAGCTAAAGACTGTTTGTGACTATGCCAGGTTATGGTCTTTACTTACATGAACTACGGGCAGTTCTTTTTTTTAAAAAATATATTATTGATTTTTTATAGAGAAGAAGGGAGAGGGACAGAGAATTAGAAACATCGATGAGAGAGATCAATCAGCTGCCTCCTGCACGCCCCCTACTGGGGACGTGCCCGCAACCCAGGTACATGCCCTTGACCGGAATCGAACCCGGGACCCTTTAGTCCGCAGGCCGACGCTTTATCCACTGTGCCAAACCGGTTCGGCACGGGCAGTTCTTGTAAGACATTCCTTCCATTGTTTGTGATGTTCTGTTACTTGGATACTGTTACATGTTGTGTTGATCAGGGCCAATGCTGGCTGCTCACCTTTGTTGCCTTTCAATAAAACTCAGAATATTTGTGTTTTATGTACTTGTGCAGCAGAAGGTGCAGAGAGAATCCTAGTTTTTTTTTCACAGGGTGAACTTACAGGAAGATCTAAGACTCTGGTTCTCAACCTTATGGCCGTTTAAATACAGTTCCTCATGTTGTGACCCAACCATAAAATTATTTTCATTGCTTCTTCTTAAGTATACTATTGCTACTGTTATGAATCACAATGTAAATATCTGATATGCATGATGGTCTTAGGTTACCCCTGGGAAAGTGTCATTCGACCGCCAAAGGGATCCAGACCCACAGATTGAGAACTGATGAACTAAGTGGTAGTTGAGCCGGGTTGAGGTGCACCTGGAAGAGCTTTGTCCTAAGGGCTGTGTTTAGAGAATAGTAGGAACCTGCTCATGTCCAACAGAGTTTAGGTTGAAATGCCACAGGCAGCAGCTCATTTCTACCTTTTCATTCCCATGCTTGACACTTTGCTGACTTCTCTTTTGATCTGTGCCATCCTGGATTTTAGCTACCTTTACCTCTGTGGCCTTTTTGCATCCCCTGTGTACTTGTAAGGCTCTCTGCAGTATTCTGAAATGTTAACCTGCACACGTGTTACGAGATGCACACACGTGCTTACGTAGTCAACACAACCTCCTCATTACTTGAATTTTATTTGGAATAAGATGTAGTCAACCTTCTGCACAGCTTGCCATGTCACCAGCAGACAAGACCAGCTGCACACTGTTAGCAGAAGAATGAGCAGATGATCCAGCTTCTAATCCATGCGGTACTTGCCATGTTTGTTTATATTTTGTTTGGGATATTCCCCGTTTCATGATCTTCAGTAGCACAGAACTTCACAGGAGCATCTTATATATTCTTCCTACAGATATGTTACTCTCAGACAATTGCATGGAATCAACGTCTTAAGTGCAACACACTTTTGTAAAGGCACTTCTCCCTGTCCACACAGTCGACATTCATTTTGGCACTATTTTTTTGTTTTCAGGTTGTTGGCATAAAACAGATGATGTGGAGGCCTGTTCTGAGCAGAATGCATCCATAGAAGGAGAGTCACAGGTCAGTGCTTCTAAGACAGCACCAACAACCCAGAAGAGCCATCTTTGTGGGAGGTGTTTCTCTGTGTTAAAAGATATTCTGCATCTGACTGAGTCACAAGCAGCAGTCTTTGAACAGAAAGCCTTCTTCAGTGATGCATGTGTGAGAGACTTGTGTTTCAGGGCAAACTCTCACCAGAAACAGAGGGAAGTCAGTGGAGAGAAGCCCTGGAAAGAAGCTGTGGACAGGGCCTCATTTTTGAACTGGTGCAGCTTCTACTTACCAGGTCTGCCTTCAACCAGTAGGGAGGTTGGGGAAGACTTCACAGCCATCTCAGAGCTTCTCCAGAACCAGGCCACGCTCAGAACTGAGGAGCCATACAGGGGCAGTGAGATTTCACAGAAATTACTCAATAGAAACAGGCATCAGCAATGGAATAAATGTGAAAAAGCTGCCAGCCACAACCAGAATCTTGTTCAAGATCAGGGTGTCTGCTCTGGAGAAGTGAAATATGAGTGCAATATATGTGGGAAAGTTTTCAGATGTATCTTTAAGCTCAATCGACATAGGAGAGTTCACACTGGAGAAAAGTCTTATCAGTGTACTGACCTTGGAATGTCCTTCCATCAATCTTCCCTCACTGAACACCACAGAGTTTACACTGGAGAAAAACCCTACAAATGTATTGAATGTGGACAGTCATTTAGACGCAGTTACCACCTTTTTATACATGAGAGAGTTCACACTGGAGAAAAGCCCCATCAATGTAGTGATTGTGGGAAATGCTTCAGTTATAGCTCTTACCTTATTAAACACCACAGAGTTCACACTGGAGAAAAACCTTATGAGTGTATTGAATGTGGGCAATCATTCAGGCAAATCTCTACTCTCAATAATCATCAGCGAGTTCACACTGGAGAAAAGCCATATGAGTGTAGTGAATGTGGGAAGTCATTCAGGGATGTCTCTGGTCTCAATAAACATCAGAGAGTTCACACTGCAGAAAAGCCCCATCAATGTAGTGATTGTGGAAAATGCTTCAGTTATAGCTCTTACCTTATTAAACACCACAGAGTTCACACTGGAGAAAAACCTCATGAGTGTAGTGAATGTGGGAAGTCATTCAGGCAAATCTCTACTCTCAATAACCATCAGAGAGTTCACACTGGAGAAAAACCATATGAGTGTAGTGAATGTGGGAAGTCATTCAGGCAAATCTCTACTCTCAATAAACATCAGCGAGTTCACACTGGAGAAAAGCCATATGAGTAGTGAATGTGGGAACTCATTCAAGGATGTCTCTAATCTCAATAAACATCAGGGAGTTCACACTGGAGAAAAGCCATATGAGCGTAGTGAATATGGGAAGTCATTCAGTCAAACCTCGGCTCTCAACCATCAAAGAGTTCACACTGGAGAAAAACCGTATGAGTGTAGTGAATGTGGGAAGTCATTCAGGCAAATCTCTACTTTTAATGAACATCAGAGAGTTCACAGTGGAGAAAAACCGTATGAGTGAGGTGAATGTGGGAAGTCATTCAGGGAAACCTCTGCTCTCAATAAACCTCAGACAGTTCACACTGGAGAAAAGCCATATGAGTGTAGTGATTGTGGAAAGTCCTTTAGCAGAAGCTCTACTCTCATTAGACACAACCGAATACACACCGGAAAGGCACCTGATGAGTTTATTGAATGTGGGAAATCTTTTTTCTACAAATCTTTCCTCGTTCAACACTTGAAAGTACACACTGTAGAAAAGCTTTAAATGTGCAGGGAATATTTTACTTTTCTCACTCGAATACCAATACCAATGGAGAAACTTTTACACTCTTTTACCTGAATAGGAATCCCTTTTTTCAGAACATACACTCTGCTAGATAAATTCCTTATTAGTTTAACATACAATAGAGGTTTTCAGAAACTGCATTGCACCTGCTAACCCACTCAGTCCTACTACCTGATTGATGTCACTGTGAGTATTTGTGGGGAAACCATTTCACTCCTACCACCTAGCTCACCTTTAGAGTGTGCATCACTCACAGCCTCTGCAGACTCTGGGGTTGTGCTTGAGAATATCATGAATATTCCAAGCTTCTGGTGGATCTTCACTTCTTTCTGTCTGACTAGAGAATTTATCTGACCCAGGTTTTGTCAAAAGCCCCCTGCCTCAGCTAAGAAGTGCTACCTCTTCAGGGACATTATGGTTCTCACTTTATGCTGTGGGGAATTGTTTCAGGTTCCAATTCACCATCCTGCAAACCTCTTGCTGTACTTTGCTCTGGTTTATGATCTTTATGTAAAGGTGTTTTTTCTTTGGTACCTTTAATTTTTTTGGTTGTATTCTTTCCCTGGGATGATTGACAGGAAAGTAGTGATCTGTTAGCATGGAGAGTTAAACAGATATGGTGGGTCCCAAACTTTCTGTGCTTTTGAAGGCACTGCTTGATGGCAGAAAATCACTCTTTGTTCAATTTTGGCTGATTTTGTATTGCCGACCAAGGCCTTGAGATAAAGTGTGCATGACTTTGTGGTTCTAATTAGCTGTCTGGTGTCTCTTTTATCGTAGAGGTCATTGGTCACCCTGAATAGGCAGTGTATATTGTGCTCTGTGAACAATATGAATTATATTCTCTGTGCACAGTATCTATTACTTAGGTGTCAGCAATGTTTAGGGGAACTGCTGTCCACGTGCTGTAAAGAGGCCATGTGTCATGTTGTATGAGATTTCATAGGCCGGTGTCATTTGTTGTAAGACTCTGAGATGGAATTAGTATCTACACTTATAAAAGACAAACATGCAAATTGCCATACCTGTGCTAGCCTTAAGCCAAACCCACCAGCCAATCAGAGCGGCTATATGCAAATTACTCCAACAAAGATGGTGGTTAATTTGCAGATACCAGCTGGGAGCGAAGACTGAAGACAACATGGAAGCGAAGCGCTACAGAAGAGAGCAAAGTAGAGGCGGCGGAGACAGGAATGAAGCCAAGATGCGGAAGCAGGAGTTGGGAGGGGAAACCCAGCCGCAGCGGCTGGGAGTGGAAGGGGTAACACAGCCTGATTGGCTGGGAGCGGGAGGGCAAACCCAGCAGCAGCGGCTGGGAGCTGGAGAGGAAACACAGCTTGAGCGGCTGGGAGCAGGAGGGGAAGCCTGTCTCAGTGGGTTTTCCTCCCTTCTCTGCTTCATACCACCTGCAGGAAGCCCTATAGCTCGCAGGAATTTTCCTGCAACAGGCCTCTAGTTGGGACATAAACACTGTTTGCATAGTCATGGGAGACACTGCAGTTAAACTAGATGAAAAGTGCCTCTTCTGGATACAAATCCAAAATTACCCAGGGGCCTGTGGCTTGTATGATATTTGCGACATTCTGAGGACCCCCATAGCTATTTCCTTTAGCTGAAGGCACTGGCAGAGAAAATAATCTAATGGTTTTGTGGATTCCCCTGGTCCTTCTATGGTGTTCACCTCAAGGTTGTTGCTCAACAGGCAAGACGTCAAATCTAGAGGAAGCATAATGCTGTATTCAGTCCCAGGATGTGTCTTTTATAACCAGTCAGTATTCCTGTTGATTCCAAAGGCAATAGTCTTCACTACTTGCCAACATTTGCTGCCACTGAGGCAAGGGTGTTCCCCCCAGAAAATGAGAACTGACATGCAACAAAGTACACCTTTCTCATGTGTGCTCTTTGGTGAGCCCTGACATAGAGATAAAGCTGTGAAACCGTCACATGTGAAATAAACCCACCTGTAACTCATACCCAGGGTGGGGCACTAATGGGCTCACAGATTTAAGTTCAAAAAACACAGAGATTATTCTTTTAAAAATATCTTAGAAAATACTTTTATTCATTTTTGGGGGGAGGGAGAGTGAAGCAAGGGGAATAGAGATATAAACATAGATCTGCTGAACTCCTTCACATCCCCTACTGGGGATCCATTTGGGGATGTGCACTGACCTGGAATCAAACCAGAGACCTTTCAGTGAATGAGATGACACTCAACCAGCTGAGGACACTGGATGAGGCAGAGTTTATTCCTGTATTATTGTTATTAATTAATGTATTATTTTCCACAGCAACAACTCTAAACCTACTTTTTGCCTCATCCTATATTTTCCTAATACCCTGTTATAATCTCTCTTTCTGCATTTACTGGCCCTCCATGCAGTCATGAATTTTCTTTTTTCTTTTTTTCTTTTTTTTCTTTTTTACAATAGAATCATTCATATTGTTCATAATTTTATAGGCACTATTTGATGTGTTCTCTTTTACAAATTCTGGTTTCCTCCATGCTATGCTGTTATTTTGAGATTCAACACAAATGCTTATGTGAAAAATTTATTTAATTCTGAATAGTACTGTGTTCTGTTAATAATCACTTTATCTATTGATCTGTCTATGTTTTTTCTTATTTCCTGGTTTTGGGTATTATAAATAAATATTCTGGGACTATTTGCATTCAGTTCTCTATATAGACGTATGTTTTACTTATCAAAATGTTGTGTAGATAGATTAATGTTTTACATTTAAGATATGCGGAACTATGAGCCAATATGGTCATTCCCTTTGCCTTCCCTCTAACCCACAGTATATAAAAATTCCAGTTTTTCTGCTACCCTGCCAGGACATACAATGGTTAACCTTTTCAAACAGTAACCCTGGGAAATGCATATATTGGTAACTCACTTTCGTTGTAATTCCATCTACCTAAGAATTTTTTTTTTCAGTATCCTCATGTTTTTATTACAAAACAAGCCACAAAACAGTTTTAGAAAATTAACTTTTTGCTACATACCAATTCAGAGAGCACATAACATGAGAAGCACAACCGTTTCCATGCACTCAGCTCAGTAGTTACAGCGAGTGCATTTCACAGCTGAAACATACTGGTTCAAAACACAGAATCATGCCACACCTTCCTAAGCAGTGGGGAAAGGAATCACACAGTTCAAACTCTGCCTAGATGAGTGATGGTAATTGACTGCTGCAGGCAACACGCAGAGAGAAAGGGAGTGGGTAGAAATGATTTAATAAATGTAACCATTTCTGACATGTTCAAAGTTTATCAATGAAGCTGATTTGGGAAACTCCATTACCAAAATATTGTTACCTCCATATGCTTGTTTATTTAGTTTTCAGTGCAAATAGACATCAAATCCCACTGCTCCAGTATTGAGCCTGCTATTTATTTACTGGGTCCTTTTAGCCTATGGCAGAGCAGTTATACTCAAAAAAAGTGGGGGGGAAAAAGCAACTTGTAAGTGAACTACAAAACTGGACCTTAAATCTACTTTCTCATGGGAATCTTCCAGCGTCCTACCCAGAAACAGATGTGTAATTCCAACATTTTGACCAGAGGTCACTCTACTTAATGTATGTTTATGTTGTCTCACAGTATACAAAAAGCCCATTTCCGTTTGCCATCAACTGACCTAAGAGAGCAAATCCATAAGCTTTCAAAAGCAGTGGTGAATAGTTCAGCTCTAGGGAAGACCACCTGAAGTAGTTACATATAGAGTGAGTCAAGACGCGGCCAAATATCTTATAAAAACAGCACAACTC